GAATTGAATCGCAACATATTTTAAGTCATAAATCGCTGACGACCTAATTTATGGAAAGCGTTCGCATAGAATTCTGGAAACAGATGCTAGTATGGGAGAAGAGCAGCCTTTATCTAGATGCAGCTTTATCAACGCAGACTCTGTAGCGTCACCTACTTCTAACCCCATGTTAATGCCATTAAAATACGTCTTCGTGCCTGAACTTACATCTGCCTTGTTATCAATGCCTCTAGAAGTTGCCTTAACCCCGTACTCGTCGGTGACTGAAACCCAGCCAGTGTGCACATTGCAGACTCTCAGGGGAAAGATACATCAAGGTGGACCTTCAAATTTATTAAAGTGTAAACATTATTTGCAGGTCTCAGCAATCTCTGTGGCATAGTCAGATATTCAGGTTTAATTAATGTTCACAAGGTTTGCTTCCTTGGGTGGTAGATGAGCACACACGTAGTTCCTAACTCACTAGATGTGATCTATATACCCTTGGTACTGAACCACCTGTAACACCGTTATTTTATTTTACTCTAACCTGCAAAGAATATTTTTATTAAAATGCACGTTTCTGAGTAGAGACTGATTAAATGTTGGCGCAGGATTATCATCACACTTGTCACATTCCGGTTTACATGTATGTCCTTATTTACGGTAGCAGCTAAATTAGTTGTGGCTTTGTATGGTTTATTTTGCCCAAACGGTGGCCACTTGGGGAACTGATGACATTTTGAAATGAGAAGCCTCATTTTGGTGCAGAACATATCCAACACGCAGATAAACATTGCTTAATCTCACCACAGATGGCTGTGTGTAGGTAAAGTGTGTCAATGCAAGCATCAATTTTGCTGCAAAATCAAGCACACGTCAATAAAATGTCGCCGCATCATCAGCACCCTCCTCATCGTTAACATTACCAGCCAACCTTCCAGACCTTCTAATACCACGCAAATTGCCATGCCAGCACCGATTGCCATTTCTGCTGCACTTGTTGCAGACCATACTTAGAAGTAAAGGACAACAAATAAGCAAACTTTAAAATAGTGGTGAAAACTGGGATGCAAGGGAGACGCAAATGGCATCAACTCATTGCTCGCACATGTTTACTTGCCTCCTTGAAAATGGCCCAAGTAACCACCCACCTACTGCACGATTGGTAGTCCTCAAAACGTCCACTGCACTGCAATGCGATGACCAACCCACAACGAGTGACATGATTTTACTGCTAGCAGTCTTGCAAATTGCAAATACTCGTAAGTTGCAACAATCAGACATGCCAGAAATATATGCCTTATATGGAAGTAAGACAGGATCGGACAACAGTAGGGTCACATCACCGAAGAGGGATCACCCTGCAATGACCAATGAGAATGCCTAGTTAGACGTCCAGCTAAAAGAAATGTCATTCTGTCACAGCTTGCTATCTAAATTATTGGAACGATACGAACTGTATAAAATGAATAGATGGTGAATAAATTTGGTGACGATTATCACAATGCACAATGCAATTCGCTATGCTTTGCCTCGAGCTCTCACTGCCACGTCGTCACAGGAGATTGGATTCGGAGTTTCCTTTTTCTTTGCAATACTACTAAGCAAAGATCTTCTCAAACCAACGTGGTGATAGTTCCTGCCTGTGAAGGAAGAATTACAGTTTGTCCTCAAATTTTTCTATTAAGTGCATAACTGGTGGGAAGGTATAAGTGGAGAGACAAAAGCCTTGCTTACACACAATGCTCAAGAGAGAAACGTATATGCCTCCACAGGCTTGGCTCCTCACAAATGCTAGAGATTGTCTTCCGTCTTTTCACCAAAACGATATTCCACTCATTTGTACGCTACCCCTCTGAGGCATCTCAGCCAGTTGAATTGCATATGCTTCACATCAGAAGTTCCACGCTTCAACCCTACTCTCAGGTAAATCGTAGAAGTTTCGGTGGTTAACTACAGACTCGAAGCCTTGGCCAACTAGCACCTGATTAAGCTCCAACCAAAACCCACGACTGAAGCTCTTCTTTATCGTGGACTCAAATCATCATTCTAATTGAAGGCTACTTGAGTTATATCAGCATATGGAAGCAGGCGTGATGGTCGAACCAACGAGTCGAAACAATAAATTCATACACTTGAGATGGCAGTGCAATTGGTATTTTAGTCGTGTACCACCTCATGACGACCAGACTTTAGATGTGAATGCCAAAAATTGGTTAAAGTAATCTTTGTCTGATGTTCGGATTTTAAAATCCTATGTATTGTAAGATAATCTGGGATGATTTTCATTCATTTTACTTCAGATCAGTAGCCTGTGCGACACAAACATCCAGTGGCAGAAAGCCCATGTTCATATTTGATTCCTCTCTTTTTGTGTATCTTTCTCCCTAGTCCACCCAATTTTCAGGATGCACTAATGCTTTTAGCAAAAGGTGATTGACTGCAAATGGCTGGCGCTGTATCAGGGAATGATGGGTGAATCACTTTAGTTCCTGCAAGTTTTTATTAATGACAATTTTGTGATTAGGTACATAGCTAGTGCATTGATGAATCTCTATACATTTGCAGCTCTGCAATAAGGAACAGGTAATTCTCATGTAGATTTGCTCTTCAAAATACTGGAGATTTACATCACTGTTCGCGCAATCTCGTGTATGATTCAGTCGCGATTATAGGGGACATAAAGGAATTGTTGGTAAATGTGCATATAAAACTGGTAATTTCTATGTTCGCTTTACTCACTTTCAAATGGCCATTGGCCAGCTCAATTAACTTTGCTGTTGGCAGCACTGAATATTGCTAGTTTGTTTCCCTTCCTCCATGTAAATAAGTTGAAGCGGGCTTGCTCTTGTTGATAGATTACTATTGGTGGTTAATTGTAGAGAACATGCGCCTAGACGTTTGGATAAATGCTTTGCAGTTGGTGTCACAAAAACTACTGCCTGATATGGTGACTAACTGAGAGGAAAGTGGGCTTTGCTACAGAGTCCGATGATGCACAAATGGTAAGAGCAGATCAAACCAACCCAAGTAGACAACAGATGTAATACCAACGCTTGACAGTTGCTGGAGATAGGTGTATCGCAGTAAAGGCGCCATCATGAGCACACTGAATCTCTTGGTGACCAGAGCAAATCAAGGCCCTGCGGTACAACAATTATCCACTGAAGTGGCATTAGACATGATCGACATGACAACGTCTAGTCAGTAGCTGCATCCATGTTCGCACGAATACACGTTGTATTTAACAGGAAGTGCCACCTCCCACGAGTTCTTCGCGGTTGCTCGCAAGCTAAAGTGAGGACTGTACAATGTTGGCATTACGATTTTGCGAGAGGTATTCGCTGCATCTGTCAAACTGAGTGAATTCACGTAGCACCCTCTCTTTCGATAAGTGGTAATGCTTATAGACAAATTTGCCCAAGAAGAACGAAAGGCATTTGCGTTGAACCAGCCCTGTCAGTGAAGCCATTTAGGCT